TATAGACACAGACACTTGTGATGCGACGGCGATACATCATTAATTACTAAAGCATTAACTAATCTGTGATGTAATCACTTGTGCTTTACCCGCTCAAGTTTGTTGTCAAAAAGTTGGCATTTTGATATGAAGCCAAATGTGATGATGATAAATCTACCAGCCTCTACTTTTTTCCGAATGAAAAACTACATATTAATTGTCAAAATGGATTTTCCCATGTACACTCTCCGGAAGAAAAAAAAAACTACAAAAGTCCTTACTGGGTCGGTATCCTTTTAAAAGTTTTTATATGTATACCCTAGGCACTAATATCTAATATGCACCCTTTTTTCTGAGAGTATGACATTTTATGTAATCAAAATCACAGAGATTATGTGGGTGGGGCTTCAAGATACTGGGTTGGCATTCATCTCTTATATGACTTCAATCTGTTCTTCAGCAGTGCAAAAATGACTTCCCTTTTTTACTTACTTGTAATTTTAGCCATACAGGGTGAGTAGGTTTAATTTAATTTAATTATTTTACTGGAGCCCACAGTGACAGGAAACACATCAACACTGTACAAAAACCTCTATGAAGTGGGAAAAAAAACTACTGAATCTCCATTTTGTCATAACCTAATTTCTGCTTGCAGATTGAAAAAGTAATTGAAATTCAAACAAAATGCTTAAGATATTTCATAAATAAAGAATGTAAAAATATTGGATATTTCAACACAAATATGATCAAATTGACTTTGAAATGAATAGGCATGACTTTTGGGGCATGATTTTAGGTTCAAATTCATATGAATGTATAATGGAAAGATAAAATGTAATGTACTGTGATGGATCACCATTTTCTTTAAGTTTTTTGCCAATTTAAATTACCCTTGTTGACCTCACTATAGTTTATTTTAAACAGCCCTGTGGTGTAACAAATTACATTTAACATTGCAAATATTCTATGCCTCCCTCTTAATATGGTCATAAACACGGCATGCATAATAATGCTATATTAAATAGTTTTCAACACGTTTTTGGATGTGTCATATTCCCAAGTATTCCATGTCCCTTTTGTGTTTCATTTTACATCAATGATGTTATTTTTCCAATTGATTTGAAAGATCTCCATAATGAAAAGTGTAATTGCTAAAGGTTCTGTTGCAATAACAGAGGACAAAACTGTAAATTCTTTATTGCAGCCACATGGTGGCATTATTTCCAGTCGTATGTCTCATAAAACAGAAGCCTTGCCAGATTAACAGTGATGATGTTTAGGTTTCATCCTGTATAAACTCAAATGACTGGTATAAAATAAACAGAATCTAAAGTCAAATATCTAAATAATCTAAACCAAATAATCTAAAATCTGCATCAGTCAAACTACTTGTCCTTAAATAGCTACTGCAATTAGTAATGCAAAGTAATTAGTAAAGCAATAACAAAAATGCACAGCAGATGGCAGTGTTCAATCAGATTACAGAAGATTTAAATCTTCAATTGGTGTAAAAATTCAAAAAAGGAAATGTGCACAAAATCAGTCAGAGTCTGAAGTATAAAGTTTGAGCTGCTTGTGATGATCCATGATGTTTCTATGCAGTGTCTGGTTCATTCTTCTCTTTTCAGGTATGATATGTGACATTTATATGGAATCCTTTGAGTAACCATTCCAAAATAAAGTCATCAGACATTAATAATTTGTGTTGAATGGGTATTAAACTGCAATGCTCTGCCTGTTTCAGGTGATGCATGTGGAGAAGGAATAGCTCCTCTCTCATCGTCTGAACTTGTTACCAATGGTGACTCCATTACTTTGACCTGCTATTATGAGGGGTCTTACAATAGTGATTCTCTCCGGTGGTATCGTCAATACAGCTCCAAATCAGTTTTTGTTCCTGGTTAGTGAAGCCAAACTTGAGCAGCCAGCTGATCCTCCAATACCTGATTAAATTAAATGCGGAGAAAAACCTTGTGGGTCTGGAGATCTCCTCTGCTTCAGTATCAGACTCTGCTCTGTACTACTGTGCCCTGCAGCCCTCAGTGACAGGAAACCCCAAAACACTGTACCAAATTAACAGGGCAAACCAAACTAACTAACTGATGTAAATTAAACCTCTATATGCCTGTCTTTATTGTATTATATGCATGTACTATATACTTACATATACATTTCACTAACATGTATTTCTTGTGATTAAACTCAAAAATAGCTAAATCTATAAAAGAAAAAACATGTTGATAAAGATCTATAGTGCAGTATCACACTTCTCCTCAATTTATTAATGATTTAGCTTTGCCTCATTGTTTTGGAAATTCTCTTACAGGTATATAAATTTGATATTCACATTTGTTAATATAGTATATCCATAATCCTGTAAAAGATGGATATTAATGAACATACACAATACTGTTGTTGATATTTTCCCCGAGAGTGTTTTGCAAATGCAATAAAATTCCTCTGAAAAGCATGATTTAGTAACTGAAATGCAGGTTATAAGCAAAAGCTACAAAAGCAAAACATGATGATAAAGACCTCATATACTGCAGTGAAAGACCCTGGTCTAAAATACTACAAGGAGACAAGAGAGTGCTGTAGAGACATTCATTTGACTCTGAGGGTGGAGTTGTGTCTCTGGGTTCTCACAAAAGTGGGAACTATAATATACTTCAGATTCAAGGCCTTTCATATCACAGTTAATTTTTTTTTTTACTATTTTGGAGATTCTGTTCATTTCAAAAGCATATATAAGACATAATTTGGACTTTGTCCCAACACCGTAACAATTCAAATTGTTGATAAATGATAAACTTTTTTTTTTCTCAAAAACTAACCCACTTCTCCTCAATTCACAATGTCCTTATGATACATTTAAGATGGATATTATGTCGATGCCTTTACTTGTTCATTTTAATGTGTTGGTTTCAATGTACTGTACATAAAAAAGATTCAAAACAAATAAAAAATGATTTATTTATTTATTTATTTTTTGCAGCGGCAAGAAAGAAATGAAAGACAATTTCCTCAGATTTCACTTGTGGGAAATATCACTGATAATTCTAAGAATCAGCAGAGGATCCCACAATCCTTTGGGTGGAGCTTGATGAGAATGGGTACAGCAGAAGGCAGTCCTGTGTTTCTCCACATCTCATTTTGTATATGATCTCTCAGTCATAATGATTTTGTTTTACCTTAATGTTTTGGCACTTCTTACAGGTATGTAAATTTGATATTTACATTTGTTCATATATCGATATTTTTGCTAGGAGAATATATACCCCTATAAAAACATATCAACAAACAGATACAATTACTGAAGGTGCACTATTATTACTGTTCTTCTGTTATCTATACTTTCTCAGAGAGTGTTTTTGCGAATGCAATAACACCCCTATTTACTGAAAAGCATGCTTCTGAAGGAGAAAAGGCGACTCTTTCATGCAACTACAGTGGAAGTAACATACAGGGTTGGCAGTGGTACAGACAGTATCCCAACACTGCCCCTGAATTTCTCTTGCAAGCGTTTGAAAGTTTGGGTCCAGAGCAGAAGGACCGTCATGTTGCTGAAGCTCAAAAGGACAAAAAACATCTGAACCTGGAGATCTCCAAAACTGAAGTGGCAGATTCTGCAATATACTACTGTGCCCTGGTGCCCACAGTAACAGAAAACCCTCCAGCACTGTACAAAAACCTGAGATGAGGAGGAATACACAGAATACAAAGAAAGAAAGAAAGAAAGAAAGAAAGAAAGAAAGAAAGAAAGAAAGAAAGAAATTTTTTTTTCTTAGTGACAAGAATATTAAAATAACCTTTTTCCACAATAAAGAACCTTCTGTACGAAAGTTTCCATAGATGTTAAATGTTCTTTATGGAACCATAAATGCTAATAAAGAACCTTTAAAATATCCAACTAAATATTCTGTATTATGAATAATAACATTGCTCTCTCACAGCTGATTGATTCAAATTAATTACTGCAGACACATGGTGGCATTATTTCCAGTATTACGTCTCATAACACACTGTAGCTTTGTCAGCAGTGATGCTTAGGTTTCTTCTATATACACTGTAAAAAATTACCGTGAATTTAACAGTAAAAGACTGTAAAAATGCTACAGTAAAAACCTGTTAAATGGTTAACGCTAAATTCCCCTACTATATACGGTGAAAAACTGTATTGGACATTACATGTATTGGACATTACTTTTACGGTAGTATACCGTTTTTGGAAGTGAGAAAGAATTCCATGCGTTACATTTCAAATTTGATGTTTTTTTTGTTGAAATAACTTTCTTCTTAGTTTTTTCTTATCAGTTTTGTATATTAGGGTTGTGTGTTACACCTAATGTTGTTAAATGAATGTTTATTGCATTATTTCAGTTTCATGTGTGTTACCATGATGGTGTTTAGCGTTTGTGTGAATGACACTGTGCACCTTCTATACTTGTTATTATTAAAAAGCTGCTTGTGATGGGCTTTGGTTCATCATGTGACTTTTTCATCACCGCATGCATTTATTGGTTATCAGTGTATTACAAAGGTACAAAACAGCTTTCAGTACTTTGATAGGTTGGTATATTAACATCATATCAGTTAATGAAATTGCGGTATTTAACTGTAAAGTTAAGTTAAAACCTAAAAACCTAAAATGTTGCTACCATATTTTTTACGGTAAAATTCCGGCAACCACAGCTGCCGTTTTTTTACCGTAAATTTTACCGGAATTTTTTTACAGTGTAGCACTGACAAAACCTGGTATGAAAACAGCAGGATCTTAAATCAAACATACCTTCAACATCATTCAGACTACTTGTCCCTAAATAACTACTGCAATTAATAATACAAACTAATTAGTAATCAGTGAAGTAATAGCATAAAATGTACAGCAGATGGCAGTGTAGACTCAGATGAAAAAATATTTGAATCTTCAGTTGGTGTAACAGTTCAAAAAAGGAAATGTGCACAAATTCAGTCAGAGTCTGTGTGAGGTATAAAGTTTGAGCTGCTTGTGATGATCCATGATGTTTCTATGCAGTGTCTGGTTCATTCTTCTCTTTTCAGGTAAGATATGTGACATTAATTTGGAATTCTTAAGTAAACTTCCCAAATATACTGTAAGTCATCAAACAATAATCATTTGTGTTGAATGGGTATTAAGCTGCAATGCTCTGCCTGTTTCAGGTGATGCATGTGGAGAAGGAATAGCTCCTCTCTCCTCGTCTGAACTTGTTACCAATGGTGACTCCATTACTTTGGTCTGCAATTACAACGGGACTTACAATAGTGATTCTCTCCTGTGGTATCGTCAATACAGCAGCTCCAAACCAGAGTTTTTGTTTTTGGTTAGTGAAGCCAAATTTGAGCAGCCAGCTGACCCTCCAATACCTGGAGTGTTTGCTAAATTAAATGAGGAGAAAAACCGTGTGGTTCTGGAGATCTCCTCTGCTTCAGTATCAGACTCTGCTCTGTACTACTGTGCCCTGCAGCCCACAGTGACAGGAAACCCCAAAACACTGTACCAAATTAAGGGGAAAACAACTAAACAAACAACCTGATGAACTACACTAAATAGTGAATTAAACCTCTATATGACTGTGTCTTTATTGCATGATGCTCTAAAAATATATTTGTATAATGCTGCAACCACAAAATGTACATAACTGGAAAGTTTAGCAGAAGGTCAAGCAGTTGTAAATTGGGCTTTTCAGGTAAAAACAAATGTGCATGTCTAAATGCTCTGAAGTTTGCTGTAGCAAACATATAGATTTCACTATCATGTATTTCTTGTGATTAGACTGTTACTTGTAAATCTAGTGGCAATACTGATGCTTTTTCATCTATTAGCAAAAGCTACAAAAGAAAAAACAAGTTGATAAATATATACTATAGTGAAAAGACAGACCCTGGTCTCAAAGATACTAGGACAAGGAAATACTGTACTAGAGACATCCATCTGACTCAAGAGAGTGGAGCTTTGTGCCTTTTAATGGATCTCACAAAAGTGGAGGTGAAACAGGCATCTTGATTTTGGCATCCAACACATCAACCATTATGTTTATCTTCACACGTATTAGTTTATGGATTCACCTGGGTGAGATTAACTCATGCAAACATATTTTACATGCATTTAAATGAATATAAATAATTTGGAATTTAATCACATGTCATTTTATTTCATTACTCCTGCTGAGCTGCTTCCCTAACTAAGCTATTTTATTTTGTTAGTTGACACAGAGGCAAATGCAGTCTTCCCACTATCACCTATTATTAGCACTGTTGTAGGTGGAAATGTAACCCTATCCTGTAGTTACAAAGGCTTCACTGGAAGAGTGCTAAATGTGCAGTGGTACAGACAATATGCCGGATCAAAACCTGAGTTCTTTATCACAGTCTATCAACATGGAGCTTTGGGAGTGGTACCTCCAACCCTTGTGCAACCCAAAAGTTCTCAGAAGTTGTTTGGAAATATTTCGCTGTGTACTACTGTGCCCTGGTGCCCACAGTAAGAGGAAACAGATTTTCTCATACAAATATTTTATTTACTTAAGATTTAAGTCCTGTCTTGTCACAGTTAAAACATTTTTCTCTTCTCTTTTTGGGGATGAAATATTCTCTTGAACTCAATTGTCTTACAAATGTCTTGCATAACAAATAGAGCAAAATCAATTATAATTTGTCTCAATAAATGTAACAGCTCATAAGTGTAAGTCATAAATGACATCAATAACATTTTCTTTTACAAACTAAGCAAGCAGACCATCCACACACTTCTCCTCAATTTACAGGAGCCCTTAAAACATATTTAATGGATGCCTTCACTTGTTTAATAAGTTGTTTGTAATGAACTAAGAAAATAAAATGTATAATTTCAAATAATATATAGGAAAATGTTTATTTAGTTTTGCTTCATTTATAAAGGTATTTAAATTTGCTCAAATTAAAATAGTTGATAAATGATGAACATGTAACAACACACTTCTCCATAATTCACAGAGGCCCTTATGACACATTTAAGATGCATATTATGCAGATGCTTTTACTTGTTCTCAACAAGTTGTTTTCAATGACCAGTAAATATAAGAACATTTTCTAATAAAAACTTTTTTTTTTTTTTTAAAGAACTGCACAGGCAATATGCAGTATGTCTGTTGTGTGAAATATCTGTGTCCACTATTAATTTCTAAGAGTCAACAGAGTCCCACAATCCTTTGGGTGGAGTTTTGGTGAGAATTGGTACAGCAGTGGGAGGCCCTGTATCCCCAAATCTTATTTTGTATATGATCTCTAACAGTCATAATGGTTTTGTTTCATCTCACCGTTTTGGCACTTCTTACAGGCATTTACATTTGATATTTATATTTGTTAATATATCTATATATGTCTATAAAAGTATAATAATGAAGATACAATTACTGAACGTGCACTAATTGTTCTGTTGTGACTTATTTTTTCCCCAGAGAGTGTTTTTGCGAATGCAATAACAGCCATGTCTTCTGAAAATAATGCTTTTGAAGGAGGAAAAGCGACTCTTTCATGCAACTACAGTGGAAGTAACATAAAGAGTTGGCAGTGGTACAGACAGTATCCCAACACTGCCCCTGAATTTCTCTTGCAAGCTTTGGAAGGTTTGGGTCCAGAGCAGAAGGACCGTCATGTTGCTGAAGCTCAAAAGGACAAAAAACATCTGAAGCTGGAGATCTCCAAAACTGAAGTGGCAGATGCTGCTCTGTACTACTGTGCCCTGGTGCCCACAGTAACAGAAAACCCTCCAACACTGTACAAAAACCTGAGATGAGGAGGAATACATTATTTACATCTTTAGCAAACTTTCTAAAACTTATAATGATATCAAAATAATATTCTTCGAATGTCTTCTAATATCCAACAAAGTGTTCGTCACATAGAGACAGTACTTATCAGAGAATATGAAGACTCGGAGGGTGGAGCTCTCTCACTAAAATGGTGATTCAAAGTCTCTCTACTTTCACTGACTTTGTCATCAGTCTTTTTCTGAAGATCATCCATCATGTTTCTCTTTTGTTGGGCACTTTCATTATTCTTCGGTAAGAGACATTCTAATTTTCAGGGTCTCGTCCCCAATAAATGTGGACAAACTTAATTTTAGAGCAAATAATGCATGAGTTTATGATGCTAAACCGTTTTCTTTTTTATTAATAAACATGCATTTCTTTGCTTTTTTTTTTTTTACAGGTATTTCTTTTGCAAACATAATTCAACCATTATCCTCTGAAAAGCATGTTTTCAGAGGTGAACAAGTGATTCTTTCTTGTAACTACAGTGGCAACGTAGATAATCTGCAGTGGTATCGTCAATATCCTGGATCTCGACCAGAGCACCTCATTCTCATCACAGAATATTCAGAACCTGATCTTTCACGTCGTCTGTCAGCAAAAGCTACAAAAGACCTAAAACAAGTGCATTTTACAATCTCCTCTGCTGAAGAAACAGATTCTGCTCTGTACTACTGCGCCCTGCAGCCCACAGTGACAGGAAACCTGAGAACACTGTACAAAAACCTGGCATGTAACATAAATTTGGTAACGTTGGCAGAAATAGTTAAGGTCATGTCATCATAGACTAAATATATCTTTCCAAACCCTGGTAATCCAAAATAAATAAATAAATAAATTAACATGTTTGTTGTCTCACAAGTCACTCACTTTGTCCAGAAGAGGGTGCTGTGCACTAAGAACTGTTATGGTTCTTATGCTCTCATAATGATCTAAAAAATCACCACGCAACTTTCTGAATATACAGTACAGTAGATATTTTAAGTCAACAGTACAGAAGTAAGTCAGCCTCAGTGCATAGCATGATGGATAATTACCACAGAAATCTAAATGCTGATCTATTCATCACTGTTTTCTTGTTTTTGCTTCATTTATTCTACCACTGCAAGCATGTTGTATTTTAATGTGGTGCTGTTTCTTTTCTTGCAATTAAAAAAAAGGTGAATTAGATTTGAGAACAAGGAAGTCTCCTGCACAGAGCAGGGAGTCATTCTTAGGGTGGGACTACAAAAGAAATACAGAAGGCACTTAAGTTAGGACTGCTTTTGCTCTTCCTGAGTCTCAGTATGACAATGCTGTTCTTTTACTTTACAGTCATGGCACTTCTTACAGGTAATTGATTTATATTTATATCAAAGCTATATGTTGTTGTTTTTTGAGCATATATAAATACATTGCATAAATACATACTTATGCTGAATTAATGTTATCTTCTTCTCTTATTGTCTTTCCAGATACTGTTCTTGCAAATGCAATAACATCCCGCTCTACTAAACAGCATGTTTTAGAAGGAGGAAAGGTTACAATTTCTTGCAACTACAGTGGAAGCAATATTAACAGTCTTCAGTGGTACAGACAGTCTTCCAAAACTGCACCTGAATTTATCTTGCAAGCTTTTGAAAGGTCGGGACTACAGCAGAAGGATCGTTATGTTGCTAAAGTTCAAATTAATGAAAAACAACTAATTCTGGAGATCTCCAAAACTGAGATGGCAGACGCTGTAATATACTACTGTGCCCTGGTGCCCACACTAACAGGAAACTCTTCAACACTGTACAAAAACCTGAGATATGACTCTCCCATTTGATTACAGTGCACTCTGATCCTGGTGCTACATGGGAATTTTTTTGTTCTGTTACACAGAATGATGGTATTAATGGTTATTAATTCATATTCATGGTCATTAACACTGATAAAAATGTGATTTAAAAAAAATCTAAGCAAAAAAATATTAGCAAATTAGCAAGTATTCATTTATCAGTTTGAAATGTTACATTAATCCATACTTCTGTTCAGAAAGGCATTTATCTTTCTAATACAATTAACTTCTGTTTACTAGAATGTATTAATACTTTTTCTATAAGGAAACAACACAGACATCTCAGAAGAATGTACAGTATACTTGTAGGGGTGAAAATATACCTCAGGCTCCATTACACTGTCAGAGGTTTGTCTCTATTATGGTATGTGCAGTATATCAGGTCTGGAGGATGGTTACTTTATTTTAAAGGGAAATTTAGGTGTGCATCTAAAACTACAAAAATGCACAAACCTTGTTGATGTAGGATCTTGTCAGCTATGGCTGCTGTATCTTAAGAGCCTAACATTGACAGAAAATGCCCTCACTGTTCAAACTACTGATGTTATTGTTATTATTATGATAATTACGATAGTCACGATAACAACTTTTGTTGTGCGATATATTGCCCCAGAAATAATTGTGATAAGCGATATTATTGTCATTTTAAAAACCATTTTATGCCACTGAATATATAATCATAATGTAACAGCATAATAATGCAAGAAGGCCTACACACTTCCAAATGACAACAAACTTTACATTTTTAAGAATATTTAGATCATGGAAATTAAGTATCAAAATATTGTATACCTTAAAAAACCTGAATAAATAGTAAATAAACATTTTCTAACAAAAAGTGCAAAGTAACGAGTAGAAAAAAAGAAAAATGCACAAAGAACTTGTATGGAGATTTTTTCCATCTACAGATTTTTCCCTGACCTTCTTTTCTCTGTAAATTAAGGGTGCACACTATTGCTGAAAAACACAATCACTACTCAGCAGTCAGATGTCCGTATGCACAGAGACACAGAATCCCTAAACAAGATCATATCTGCAGATGAAACTTTGTTTTTTAAAAGCATTTTTTAATTGGAACGAGCATCTCATGACTATATCACGTTATGTACGAGAAGCTGCAAAAGACACAGGCGCAAGTGGAATGTACAAAACATGGTGAAATTAATTTTTAAGTAAATATAATGGGCGATATATTGCGTCACCAAAAAGTATTGTGGTCGTGTACATATAGTGCACGATAAGTCGATATATTGATTATTGCGACAGGCCGATGCAAAATCCTGTTGCACAGTCATTGCTGTTAAAAAAGTGCAATATCACTTTCTACTGTATAAAAATAAATGAACATGCATATTTATTTGTGGTGCTGTTGATTTATGCAAACAGTTGTTCATCTGCTGTTGGACCTCTAAAACATGCTAGCTCAAATTATAAGCAAATAAACATGCTCAGGCAGCCAGAGGGGGCACTCAAAATAATTTAATTTTGAGAGGCTAATGAAGTAAACTAGTTTATTCTGACTAATTTTCTCTCATTTGCCAGGTGAATTGTCTGGCAAAGTTCATCAAGACCTTAGACAAGTAGATCTGGGATTACAGATGCTGTTTTCACAGATTCACCTCATCCCATATACAAAAGCATAATATTATTAATCTACTTTTAAAGTTTTCCATGCCATTGTTACAATTTTTGAGGATAAAAGCTATTTCCTAGTATCTACAAGACAGTATATATAACGGAGTCATCTGTTACATTATATATTTCATATCAAGTGGTGATTCACAGTAATATGTCTCAGTTCCAATCTCAAATATAGAAAGAAAAAAAACTCATGCATACTTTGGATGTATAAAACACTTGACAAAAACTCAACCAAAAATCTGTGTAAATAAAAGTAGTAGTTTTAAATCTAAAAGAATAGCTTAACTGTGAGCATAAAATTCTCGGCTACTAAAAATACGTTCTAAGACTGTTTTGCTTCTAAATAATGCTTCTGTGCTAATGTTTTGAGAGCATTATAGACCAGGAAACTTTGAATCAACGTTCTATTAATGGTACTGGATACAGTAAACGTTTGTTCATAACTTTGAGAGAACCTTGCCAGAGTTCTGAGAACGTTCCCTGTTAGCATTAGCTGAGAGAATAATTAATAGGCTACACATATTCTCATGTCTACACTAAGGTTGTCAAGATACCTATGGTTTTATCATATTGCCACTAACTGACAGATTTTCTCAGTCCTCAGGGTGGAGCTTTATGATGGTGGGTAGTTCAAAACATTTCCACAGAGAGAGAACTCGGCTCTTGTGTTGCTCATCTTGTATATGATCTTCACCTATCATGATGTTGATTTTTTTTGATTTTTTTCTCACAGTTTTAGCAATTCTTACAGGTACTTTTTAAAATTTAAAGTAATTCACATTTGTTATATATGAATTAAATCTATAGACTAGATTTAAATTAAAAGATACAATCAGTGAATGTGCATTAAGTTGACTGTTATATTATTTTCAGTCTTTTTCTGAAGATCATCCATCATGTTTCTCTTTTGTTGGGCACTTTCATTATTCTTCGGTAAGAGACATTCTAATTTTCAGGGTCTCGTCCCCAATAAATGTGGACAAACTTAATTTTAGAGCAAATAATGCATGAGTTTATGATGCTAAACCGTTTTCTTTTTTATTAATAAACATGCATTTCTTTCTTTTTTTTTTTTTACAGGTATTTCTTTTGCAAACATAATTCAACCATTATCCTCTGAAAAGCATGTTTTCAGAGGTGAACAAGTGATTCTTTCTTGTAACTACAGTGGCAACGTAGATAATCTGCAGTGGTATCGTCAATATCCTGGATCTCGACCAGAGCACCTCATTCTCGTCACAGAATATTCAGAACCTGATCTTTCACGTCGTCTGTCAGCAAAAGCTACAAAAGACCTAAAACAAGTGCATCTTACAATCTCCTCTGCTGAAGAAACAGATTCAGCTATGTACTACTGCGCCCTGCAGCCCACAGTGACAGGAAACCAGCGAACACTGTACAAAAACCTTTGATAAAAAATAAATCTGAATTGACATGTATTTGTAAACCTCAGCGATGAAATCTTGATGTTGCATTAAATAAAATACTAAATAAAATGTTACAAGTGTAAACATTTGTCCACTGTCTTTCAATCAAACAGCAGCAACAAAGTGAACACATCACACTATTATCTTCACATCAAAGAAACAGTGATATACAGGTAAGTCTTATCATCAACATTATATACACTGGGGTCCAAAAGTCTGAGACCACTACTATAAATGCTATTTAAAATTTTTGTTTAATAGTTTTACAGTTTTCATTACATACATATTCATTCATTCATGTTTAAATTACATAATAAGTACCAGATTTTCTGACTTTTGGACTTCACTGTATCATGAAGCTGAAAAGTTTTAAACAGTCATTCAAGTTTGACCCACAAGAGGGTGCTCTTCTGAGCTGAGAAGCTGCTTCACTATATTACAGTACTAAACTCTAATCCAGCTGTCTTTGAAGATCTTATATTTAGTCACTGAAGATACCTGTATTCCTGATAAGCTACATCTTTCATTACAGAAATGTAATTTATGTATGAATACAGCATGAATATAACATACTGTAACCTCAACACAAAGATGTCTGTTGTTGCCCACTTCCTTGCCACAGGGTGGAGCTCTGCAGTCCGATGTTAGACAGCAGCAGCTCAAGCTCAAGCTAAATGTGACTGACTCAAGGTTGAGTTTGACACTTCAAGCTTTCGGTCTACTGAACAGTGACCATGATTATTGTTGTCTTTATTGTATTTTCACTGCTTACGGGTAAGTAATAATTTAATGCTCACTGTTGCATTAACATCAGTACCAGTCGACTGAACATGTTACAGTAACTCTCTTCTGCATTACTTAGATTTAACAGTTATGTTGAACAGAAATTACTTTAAAACATTTTCTCTTCTCTTCTTTTACAGAGAGTGCTGGTGCATATACAATAGAATCTCTCTTACCAGAAAAGCATGTTTTAGTTGGACAAAGTGCTGTTATCTCTTGCAAATACAGTGGCAATGGGCCCAGCTTTCAGTGGTATCGCCAATATCCACGATCCAGACCAGAGTACCTTATTTTTAATGCAGAGACTGCCGTTTCATCCGAACCCACTTTACGACTCAAAGCGATGGCTAAAAAAGAAATCACAGAAGTGGAACTGGAGATCTCCTCTACTGAAGTCAAAGACTCTGCTGTGTATTACTGTGCCCTGGTGCCCACAGTGACAGGAAACCCTCCTGCTCTGTACAAAAACATAATACATGAACACATCTTGCATTACACAAACATTGTGACACACCAGCTTCTAATCATACACAATAGATCAATGATGCAACTGTTCTTATTTTTCCAAATCTAATGAAACAGGTCTTTTGATTTTAAGAAAAGGACAACCCATCAGCCAAGATAAAACCTCAGCCAGAGGGTGGAGCAAATTCACAAAGTCTTTGAATGTGTGAAAGGCTGATTCATTTAGAGTCATCCTGCTTTGATACGTTTTACAATCACTCTTCATCAGAAACCATCATGTTTCTGTTTTGTTGGATACCACTGACATTACTCATAGGTAAATAGGCTAATTTAATTCATGATTTAATTATTGTTTACTAAACAAAATTGTTTTATTTTGATGTGCTATATTGTATATACATTTGTGCACAAGTTTCTTACCTTTAGTGTTAGTTTAATTAATACAGTTGCATTTTATCCATTCAGGAAATTCCTTTGCTGACACAATACAGCCATTGTCTTCTGAAAAACACATTTTCAGAGGTGACAATGTGACTCTGTCCTGTAACTACAGCGGTTTTGTATACAGTCTTCAATGGTATCGGCAATATGTGGGATCTAGAACGGAGTTCCTGATACTTGTAAATGAAAATTCAGAGGCATCTGAGCCTTCTCTTCGTCTGTCAGCAAAAGACTCAAAAGAGAAGAAACAAGTGAATCTTACAATCTCGTCTGCTGAAGTGACAGATTCTGCTCTGTACTACTGTGCTCTGAGGCCCACAGTGACAGAAAGCCCAGAAGCACTGTACAAAAACTCTGATTCCAGTCGGATGATTTTGTATTGCGCGGTTACTTTTTTTTTCTTCTCAAAATTGCAAATAAAATTAAGATTATTACTTCAGTAGTTCTACTTCAAAATTTCAATGTGCTATTTGCTTTATCTTTGTAATTAATTTTGAAATTTACTAGTAATATCTGAGTGAACATTTTTTCTACACCATTTTTTAGTGTGTGTATGTGTGTGTTACTAAATTTATACTTAAGTTTAAAATTTCCATGAATAATCCAACCCTATTGTTTCCATTATACAGAAAGCTTTAATTTTATGTTTGATTTCAATTTCTTAAAATGGAATAAATATGCAATATATGTTCACATTATGAGGTGCTCCAGTAATTCCCATGTGCACAACAAAAATTTTAGTTTGTTACTTTAGTAAGAAAGTTTCAGTAACTTAATGTTTTCTATTTTTTTTATTTTATTAAATTTTTCTATAAACTAATGCCCAAGTATAAACCTTGAGAACAGCTTTAAGAGGGATACATAAGAACCTTCTAACTTGGCAGAAGTCATCATCAGAGGGTAAAAATAGAAATACTGTCCAAGTCCTCAGTGATTTGTGAAAGTCTAAATGTGTTTGTTTTCACCCAGAAGAGGGCGTTCTTCTCTTTTCTGTGTCCCTCAACACTCTTAATGGAAGGTCAAATCTTGCCACAGGGTGGAGCTCCAGGCTTAAATCACTGTTTCAGTCAGTAAAAAACACATCTGAGTTTATTTCATTCCATCATGCTGCTCTGTGCACTTGTAATATTATTTTCAGTACTTGCTGGTGAGATTTGTTTATTTTATCACCACCTCTTTTGATTTAAAAATGTATTGCATTTATCTGATCACAACAGTGAATTTAGTATGTCTTTTTTTCAGGAGACTCTCTTGGTGATCTAATAACATCTCATGATTCTGAAAAACAAGCTCAAGATGGTAACAGTGTTACTCTCTCCTGCAACTACACAGGTGATGTTTTTAATCTACTGTGGTATCGTCAGTATCAAAGATCCAAACCAGAATTCCTTCTCTCCATGACTGAATCTGGAGATCCAGTTAAAGAAGATCCATCAGCCCACTGGTTATCTGCTAAAGTTGACAAACACACAAAGCTCATGGAACTGGAAATCAGCCCTGCTAAAGTATCAGACTCTGCACATTATTACTGTGCCCTGCGGCCCACAGTGACAGGAAACCCTTTTCCTCTGTACATAATCTTTCTGTATATATGTCATGCTTTTAATTGATGCAAACACATGTACTCTACAGTATGTATTATTTCTGTGATTGCATCAGCCATCAGTAACACGAGCATCTCAATGAATCCATAAGGATCAATACAACACATATTACCATAGATAGGCGGAGCTTAATGTGGAATAGAGCAGAAGAGCTCAAAGAAGCTTGATACACCTACTTATAGATCATTAAATTCAAACCACATACAACAATGATCATCATCTGCTCTGTTTTAACATTTATTTTGAGTTATGGTAAGCCACAGACTTTTGACACCTTTTATTAATTGTATTATATTAATGTAATGTATTGTTCATCTACTTTACAGGTGAAGCTAATAAGAGTCCTATCAGTTCAGATAAAGCATATGTGTCTTTAAACGAAGGCAGTAATGCTACTCTATCCTGTACCTTCGATGAATCAGCTTACCGTCTCCACTGGTATCGACAGAAGACCGGATCGAAGTTAGAGTTTTTGCTGCTAATTGATAAATCCACCAAAGTTGTAGTGGCAGCTAGTCCACCTCTTCCACATATGTTCACTAGCATCCATAATAACAATCGTGTGGATCTGGAGATCTCCTCTGCTGCTGTATCAGACTCTGCTCTTTACTACTGTGCTCTGCAGACCACAGTGATAAGAAAGCTTGCAACACAGTACAAAAACAATGTTTTGATGATTATTTTAAAAGAATAAATAACTTGTACTGAGGCTTTTGCTTATATACAGTCCTCCATGATTCTCCGTTTATACTGCATTTCAGCTATCACAATTTAACTGGCCACCAATAGGACCTGCAGTGTGACATGCTAATAATCTTAAAAAAGTAATGAACAGCATTTTATAATTCATTCTTATTTTATTCATACAGTTATTTAACCTCATATAATAATCAATTGCTACATAGAATATTAATTAAAATTGTAAAGAAAAAAAATTGTTGACCACTTGGGAATTATAATGAATGACAAAAATGAAATAAGAAAAAATACATTAAAAAATAAAAACGAGCAATTATATCTCCACCATTTAATATTTTCAGCTAAAGTTTAAGCATTACAAACTTTTTATGTCTTTGCTTTAATATACACTGCTGGAGACTTTGAAACACAGGTCACATGAACTGGTTTAAAGAATAAGGTATAAAAACTAAATAACTTTCCCATAGGGAGGAGCTTAAAATCAAGATGTAGAAGCGTTTTAATCTGAGGATGTCAGAATTGAAAGGCATCCAGTCTGAATGATACTCAAGTCTCTCAGATTCTTCTTCAGATTTCTGCTGTCATGAATATTTTCACTCTCAGTTTTTTGTGGATATGTATTGGTAAGATAAAGTTGTATTTTTTTCTCTCCAATCTAGACCTGCTACTTTGTACTTATTTACTACTACTTTTTACCAGTAGTTACTGTTTAATTTATTTAATTAAAAACCCTTTTACTCTCCATTACCAGGTCACACAGAGGCAGACACAATCAAACCCTTGTCACTGCATGAAAATAGATTTGTTGGTGACAGTGTTACTTTGTCCTGCAGTTATAAAGACTATTCAGGTACTGTAAATAATTTACAATGGTACAGACAATATCCCAGATCCAAACAGGAGTTCCTCCTTTACATCTTCCAACATGGAGCTATGAGTGAAGACAGACCACCCAGAGTTTCTGCTGCAGTTAATCAAGACAACAAACAAGTGGATCTGAAGATCTCCTCTGCTGTAGAGACAGATTCTGCCATGTACTACTGTGCCCTGGTGCCCACAGTGACAGGAAACCCACCTGCTCCGTACAAAAACTTAATACCTTAACACATCTTACATTAAACAAAAAAATGAGACACACCAGCTTCTAATCATGTGACAGATTCTGCTCTGTACTACTGTGTTCTGAGGCCCACAGTGACAGAAAGCCCAGAAGCACTGTACAAAAACTCTGATTCCAGTCATTTTGTACTGTTACTGATTTTATACTTCAGTTTGTCACCTCAATGAATGATCCAACCCCATTGTTTAAGTTATATGGAAAGCTTTAATCCAATGTTTAATTGAAATTAAAATGGATAGGAAATGTGAAATATATGTTCAGATTATTATGTGCTACAGTCATTTCCATGTGCATAACACAATTTAGTTTGTCTTTTTAGTATGAAATCTTCAATAGTTTTTTTTTAATGTTTTCTCATTTTTATCTGTATTTTTATCATACTGCATTTTCCACAAACTAATGTCTAAGTAAATCTAGAGAACAGATTTAAGAGAGATGCACATAAGAACCTTCTATCTTGGCAGAAGTCATCATCAGAGGGTAAACATACAAATACTGTGATTTATATCCGTCATCCTCTATGATTCATGAAGATCTAAATGGGGTGGGTTTTTCACCCAAAAGAGGGCATTCTTCTCTTGTCTCCCTCATGCACACAATCAGCTCAACACTCGTCATGGAAAGTCAAATCTTGCCACAGGGTGGAGCTCCAGGCTTAAAACACTGTGTTCAAGTCAGGAAAAAGCACATCTGAGTTTGTCTTTCATTCCATCATGCTGCTCTGTGCACTTGTAATATTTTCAGTACTTGCAGGTAAGACTCATTTATTTTATTTCTCACCACCTCTTTTCTGATCACAACAGTGAATTTAGTATGTCTTTTTTTCAGGAGACTCTCTTGGTGATCTAATAACATCTCATGGTTCTGAAAAACAAGCTCAAGATGGTAACAGTGTTACTCTCTCCTGCAACTACACTGGTGCTGTTTATAATCTACTGTGGTATCGTCAGTATCAACGATCCAAACCAGAACTCCTTCTCTCCATGACTGAATCTGGAGATCCAGTTAAAGAAGATCCATCAGCCCACTGGTTATCTGCTAAAGTTGACAAACACACAAAGCTCATGGAACTGGAAATCAGCCCTGCTAAAGTATCAGACTCTGCACATTATTACTGTGCCCTGCGGCCCACAGTGACAGGAAACCCTTTTCCTCTGTACATAATCTTTCTGTATATATGTCATGCTTTTAATCAATGCTTAACAAACACATGTACTCTACAGTATGTATTATTTCTGTGATTGAATCAGCCATCAGTAACACAAGCATATCTTAATGAATCCACAAGGATCGATACAACTCAAATCAATTGTGATGCTTCCTGGTATATTTGTATAATATAAATATAAGTATAATATCAAAGTTCAATGAAAATTGTGATAAAAGAAATGATGACCACTTGGGTGTTATCATGAATATGAAAAATAATTAAATAAGAAAAATTGCATTAAGAATGTCAAAATAAGCAACTAGATCTCCGAAATTCAGTTTGTTCTGTATCATTATTGTGATTTTGCAATAAAAAAAATGATATGTGAGAGAGAAATAACTGCACCAATTACTGTTTTCAGCTAAAGTTTAAAAAAGTATTACAATCTTTTTAATGTCTTTTCTTTAATACACATTGGCAGAGACTTTGAATCGCAGGTCACATGAACTGGTTTAAGTATAAAGACTTTATTAGAGAAATACAAGCAAAACAAGATTTCTTCCAGCGGGTGGGGCTTAATATCAGGATGAAGCAGCATTTTAATCTGAGGGCGGATGTCAGAATTCAAAGGCATCCAGTCTGAATGATACTCAAGTATTTCAGATTCTTCTTCAGATTTCTGCTGTCATGATTATTTTCACTCTCCTCAGTCTTTTGTGGATATGTATTGGTAAGATAAAGTTTTATTTTTCTCTCCAGTCTAGACCAGTTACCTTTTACTTATTTGCTACTTACTACTTTTTACCATTTAATTACGGTCTAATTAGGCTTTTACTCTCCATTACAGAGGCAGAAATAAAACCCTTGTCACTGAATGAAAATAGATTTGTTGGTGACAGTGTTACTCTGTCCTGCAGTTATAAAGAGTATTCAGGTACTGTAAATAATTTACAATGGTACAGACAATATCCCAGATCCAAACCGGAGTTCCTCCTTTACATCTTCCCGCAAGGAGTTATGAGTGAAGACAGACCACCCAGATTTACTGCTACAGTTAATCAAGACAACAAACAAGTGGATCTGAAGATCTCCTCTGCTGTAGAGACAGATTCTGCCATGTACTACTGTGCCCTGAGGCCCACAGTGACAGGAAATCTAACTGCATCCTACAAAAACCTCCCATGTCATCATTAAAGAAAGATGAAGCCTCAAACACTTACTTCATCCTGTCTCAAAGGCCAGTGCATCATCACAATAGTCTGTAATTTTGCTGAGACAAGTCATATAACATATACATTCAATATAGTCAAAGGTTTGCATTTCCCTTATTATTGAAATAGTATATACGTTTTGCCAGAAGGTGGCGCTGTGTGCATATTCTTTTTCAGTCATTACGGAGTGGATGTCCTGATGCAAGTTTTGTCTTACGTGCAGATTAATTGTCTGTATTGATGTTAATTTGTCTGCTCAAAAGTCAGAGACTGATTTTCATCTGCAAGATATTGTCAGTTTGTTTCAGGTTACGTTGGTTAATCTAATAGGTTGTTCCCAATGTTACTATAAAAAGAGAGCTTGCATCAAAGATGCAGTGTTCTTGCTTGCAAGATTTTTTTAAAGGTAAATGTTACTGATGATATTCCAGGTATTGTTGAACTACATATTCCAGTATACTAGTCAATCTGACACCTTGTCGTCAAGTATTTTATGGATATTTTAGCATATGCAAATTTTTACTTTAGACTCATTCTGAACTGAGATAGCTGAAATACTTCCGTAAAGATCATTTCACCTATTGCTCACTTAAACAATCATAATTTATTCTTCTTATACATATTCTGCCAGAGGGAGGAGCTACAGGATTCATGTTTTATATTACCCAGCTCCAGCTATATTTAGTTTTAGGAGGAAATTGATTCTCACAGTCATTTTTGTCTCTTTATTAGTAAGATGTTGTTCCTGATCTTAATCTTCATTTCTCTGCTCAAAGGTCAGTTATTGATTTTTATATATATATTTTATCCGATTATTATATATTCAGTGTGAACTACATGTATGCATCTTAATTTAATTTAGCCCAAAGGAATAATTTATAATCTTTGATTATTCTTCTACACAGAGAATGCTGACGCAAATACAATAAACCCACTGGTCCCAGAGAAGCACATGATAGCAGGAGACAATGTTACCCTCTCCTGTGAATACAGTGGAGGAGTTAACACACTGCAGTGGTATCGACAATATCCAGGATCTCGAATAGAGTTCCTTATATTTGTCACTGAGCTCAATGGCCGGTCGGAGCCTGCACTTCGACTTTCATCTGTGGCTGATGAACGTATATAAACGCATGAATCTCAGCATCTTTCAGGCAGAAATGGAAGATTCTGCTTTGTACTACTGTGCCCTGGTGCCCACAGTGATGGGAAACACTGCAACACTGTACAAAAACATCATTAGCAGCAGACATAGATCCAACATCAGATTTTAACCAATTTTTCTAAACATTTCAACAAATCAAAGTGTGATGACTTCACTTGAATCATTTATGCATTGATAAAGCTGGAATCTTCATAACATTATGAAAAAAAACGGTTTACCTCTGAGTATGCAGTGACTGCTAAATGTCATGTTAACAGGTTTGAATATAAAGACACCATAAAAAAGCAGGCTAAACTAAATAACTTTCCCATAGGGCGGAGCTTAATATCAAGATGTTGGAGCATTTTAATCTGAGGGAGGATATCAGAATTCAAAGGCATCTAGTCTGAATGATACTCAAGTCTCTCAGATTCTTCTTCAGATTTCTGCGGTCATGATTATTTTTACTCTCCTCAGTTTTTTGTGGATGTGTATTGGTAAGATAAAGTTGTAAAAAAAATTCTCCAATCTAGGCTGTTACGTTTTTACTTATTTGCTACTATGTTTTACCATTTAATTACAGTCTAATAAGGCTTTTCTCTCCATTACCAGGTCACACAGAGGCAGATGCAATAAAACCCTTGTCACTGAATGAATATAGACGTGTTGGTGACAGTGCTACTCTGTCCTGCAGTTACAAAGACTATACAGCTACTGTACAGAATTTACAATGGTACAGACAATATCCCAGATCCAAACCGGAGTTCCTCCTGTACATCTTCCAGCATGGAGCTATGAGTGAAGACAGACCACCCAGATTTACTGCTGCAGTTAATCAAGACAACAAACAAGTGGATCTGAAGATCTCCTCTGCTGTAGAGACAGATTCTGCCATGTACTACTGTGCCCTGGTGCCCACAGTGACAGGAAACCCACCTGCTCCGTACAAAAACTTAATACCTTAACACATCTTACATTAAACAAAAAAATGTGACACACCAGCTAATCATGCACAATAAATCACCGTTGCAACAGTTAATTTTTTTTCTTTAAATCTAATGAAACACTGTCAGGTCTTTTCATTTTGAGAGAAAAACAGCCCATCAGGGAAGAAGATAAAGCCTCAGCCAGAGGGTGGAGCAAATTCACAAAGTCTTTGAATGTGTGAAAGGCTGATTCATTTAGAGTCATCCTGCTTTGATAGTTTTACAATCACTCTTCATCAGAAACCATCATGTTTCTGTTTTGTTGGACACCACTGTCATTATTCATAGGTAAATTATTATTTTTTTAATTGTATTGTTTATTTTATTGTATTGTATATTTTATTAAAAATATATTTTTTTATATACTAAATTGTATCACATTGTGAACAGGTTACTTAGCATCAATTTAATTCATACAATTGTATGCATTTTGTCCATACAGGAAATTCTTTTGCTGACACAATACAGCCATCGTCTTCTGAAAAACACATTTTCAGAGGTGCCAATGTGACTCTGTCCTGTAACTACAGTGGTCTTGTATATGACCTGCAATGGTATCGAAATTTTGGGGGATTTAGAACAGAATTCCTGATACTTGTAAATGAAAATTCAGAGGCATCTGAGCCTTCTCTTCGTCTGTCAGCAAAAGACTCAAAAGAGAAGAAACAAGTGAATCTTACAATCTCTTCTGCTGAAGTGACAGATTCTGCTCTGTACTACTGTGCTCTGAGGCCCACAGTGACAGAAAGCCCAGAAGCACTGTACAAAAACTCTGATTCCAGTCATTTTGTACTGTTACTGATTTTATACTTCAGTTTGTCACCTCAATGAATGATCCAACCCCATTGTTTAAGTTATATGGAAAGCTTTAATCCAATGTTTAATTGAAATTAAAATGGATAGGAAATGTGAAATATATGTTCAGATTATTATGTGCTACAGTCATTTCCATGTGCATAACACAATTTAGTTTGTCTTTTTAGTATGAAATCTTCAATAGTTTTTTTTTTTTTATGTTTTCTAATTTTTATCTGTATTTTTATCATACTGCATTTTCCACAAACTAATGTCTAAGTAAATCTAGAGAACAGATTTAAGAGAGATGCACATAAGAACCTTCTATCTTGGCAGAAGTCATCATCAGAGGGTAAACATACAAATACTGTGATTTATATCCGTCATCCTCTATGATTCATGAAGATCTAAATGGGGTGGGTTTTTCACCCAAAAGAGGGCATTCTTCTCTTGTCTCCCTCATGCACACAATCAGCTCAACACTCGTCATGGAAAGTCAAATCTTGCCACAGGGTGGAGCTCCAGGCTTAAAACACTGTGTTCAAGTCAGGAAAAAGCACATCTGAGTTTGTCTTTCATTCCATCATGCTGCTCTGTGCACTTGTAATATTTTCAGTACTTGCAGGTAAGACTCATTTATTTTATTTCTCACCACCTCTTTTCTGATCACAACAGTGAATTTAGTATGTCTTTTTTTCAGGAGACTCTCTTGGTGATCTAATAACATCTCATGGTTCTGAAAAACAAGCTCAAGATGGTAACAGTGTTACTCTCTCCTGCAACTACACTGGTGCTGTTTATAATCTACTGTGGTATCGTCAGTATCAAAGATCCAAACCAGAACTCCTTCTCTCCATGACTGAATCTGGAGATCCAGTTAAAGAAGATCCATCAGCCCACTGGTTATCTGCTAAAGTTGACAAACACACAAAGCTCATGGAACTGGAAATCAGCCCTGCTAAAGTATCAGACTCTGCACATTATTACTGTGCCCTGCGGCCCACAGTGACAGGAAACCCTTTTCCTCTGTACATAATCTTTCTGTATATATGTCATGCTTTTAATCAATGCTTAACAAACACATGTACTCTACAGTATGTATTATTTCTGTGATTGAATCAGCCATCAGTAACACAAGCATATCTTAATGAATCCACAAGGATCGATACAAGTCAAATCAATTGTGATGCTTCCTGGTATATTTGTATAATATAAATATAAGTATAATATCAAAGTTCAATGAAAATGGTGATAAAAGAAATTATGACCACTTGGGTGTTATCATGAATATGAAAAATAATTAAATAAGAAAAATTGCATTAAGAATGTCAAAATAAGCAACTAGATCTCCGAAATTCAGTTTGTTCTGTATCATTATTGTGATTTTGCAATAAAAAAAATGATATGTGAGAGAGAAATAACTGCACCAATTACTGTTTTCAGCTAAAGTTTAAAAAAGTATTACAATCTTTTTAATGTCTTTTCTTTAATACACATTGGCAGAGACTTTGAATCGCAGGTCACATGAACTGGTTTAAGTATAAAGACTTTATTAGAGAAATACAAGCAAAACAAGATTTCTTCCAGCGGGTGGGGCTTAATATCAGGATGAAGCAGCATTTTAATCTGAGGGAGGATGTCAGAATTCAAAGACATCCAGTCTGAATGATACTCAAGTATTTCAGATTCTTCTTCAGATTTCTGCTGTCATGATTATTTTCACTCTCCTCAGTCTTTTGTGGATATGTATTGGTAAGATAAAGTTTTATTTTTCTCTCCAGTCTAGACCAGTTACCTTTTACTTATTTGCTACTTACTACTTTTTACCATTTAATTACGGTCTAATTAGGCTTTTACTCTCCATTACAGAGGCAGAAATAAAACCCTTGTCACTGAATGAAAATAGATTTGTTGATGACAGTGTTACTCTGTCCTGCAGTTATAAAGAGTATTCAGGTAAAAAAAACGGTTTACCTCTGAGTATGCAGTGACTGCTAAATGTCATGTTAACAGGTTTGAATATAAAGACACCATAAAAAGCAGGCTAAACTAAATAACTTTCCCATAGGGCGGAGCTTAATATCAAGATGTTGGAGCATTTTAATCTGAGGGAGGATATCAGAATTCAAAGGCATCTAGTCTGAATGATACTCAAGTCTCTCAGATTCTTCTTCAGATTTCTGCGGTCATGATTATTTTTACTCTCCTCAGTTTTTTGTGGATGTGTATTGGTAAGATAAAGTTGTAAAAAAAATTCTCCAATCTAGGCTGTTACGTTTTTACTTATTTGCTACTATGTTTTACCATTTAATTACAGTCTAATAAGGCTTTTCTCTCCATTACCAGGTCACACAGAGGCAGATGCAATAAAACCCTTGTCACTGAATGAATATAGACGTGTTGGTGACAGTGCTACTCTGTCCTGCAGTTACAAAGACTATACAGCTACTGTACAGAATTTACAATGGTACAGACAATATCCCAGATCCAAACCGGAGTTCCTCCTGTACATCTTCCAGCATGGAGCTATGAGTGAAGACAGACCACCCAGATTTACTGCTGCAGTTAATCAAGACAACAAACAAGTGGATCTGAAGATCTCCTCTGCTGTAGAGACAGATTCTGCCATGTACTACTGTGCCCTGGTGCCCACAGTGACAGGAAACCCACCTGCTCCGTACAAAAACTTAATACCTTAACACATCTTACATTAAACAAAAAAATGTGACACACCAGCTAATCATGCACAATAAATCACCGTTGCAACAGTTAATTTTTTTTCTTTAAATCTAATGAAACACTGTCAGGTCTTTTCATTTTGAGAGAAAAACAGCCCATCAGGGAAGAAGATAAAGCCTCAGCCAGAGGGTGGAGCAAATTCACAAAGTCTTTGAATGTGTGAAAGGCTGATTCATTTAGAGTCATCCTGCTTTGATAGTTTTACAATCACTCTTCATCAGAAACCATCATGTTTCTGTTTTGTTGGACACCACTGTCATTATTCATAGGTAAATTATTATTTTTTTAATTGTATTGTTTATTTTATTGTATTGTATATTTTATTAAAAATATATATTTTTATATACTAAATTGTATCACATTGTGAACAGGTTACTTAGCATCAATTTAATTCATACAATTGTATGCATTTTGTCCATACAGGAAATTCTTTTGCTGACACAATACAGCCATCGTCTTCTGAAAAACACATTTTCAGAGGTGCCAATGTGACTCTGTCCTGTAACTACAGTGGTCTTGTATATGACCTGCAATGGTATCGAAATTTTGGGGGATTTAGAACAGAATTCCTGATACTTGTAAATGAAAATTCAGAGGCATCTGAGCCTTCTCTTCGTCTGTCAGCAAAAGACTCAAAAGAGAAGAAACAAGTGAATCTTACAATCTCTTCTGCTGAAGTGACAGATTCTGCTCTGTACTACTGTGTTCTGAGGCCCACAGTGACAGAAAGCCCAGAAGCACTGTACAAAAACTCTGATTCCAGTCATTTTGTACTGTTACTGATTTTATACTTCAGTTTGTCACCTCAATGAATGATCCAACCCCATTGTTTAAGTTATATGGAAAGCTTTAATCCAATGTTTAATTGAAATTAAAATGGATAGGAAATGTGAAATATAAATTCAGATTATTAGGTGCTACAGTCATTTCCATGTGCATAACACAATTTAGTTTGTCTTTTTAGTATGAAATCTTCAATAGTTTTTTTTTTTTTATGTTTTCTAATTTTTATCTGTATTTTTATCATACTGCATTTTCCACAAACTAATGTCTAAGTAAATCTAGAGAACAGATTTAAGAGAGATGCACATAAGAACCTTCTATCTTGGCAGAAGTCATCATCAGAGGGTAAACATACAAATACTGTGATTTATATCCGTCATCCTCTATGATTCATGAAGATCTAAATGGGGTGGGGTTTTCACCCAAAAGAGGGCATTCTTCTCTTGTCTCCCTCATGCACACAATCAGCTCAACACTCGTCATGGAAAGTCAAATCTTGCCACAGGGTGGAGCTCCAGGCTTAAAACACTGTGTTCAAGTCAGGAAAAAGCACATCTGAGTTTGTCTTTCATTCCATCATGCTGCTCTGTGCACTTGTAATATTTTCAGTACTTGCAGGTAAGACTCATTTATTTTATTTCTCACCACCTCTTTTCTGATCACAACAGTGAATTTAGTATGTCTTTTTTTCAGGAGACTCTCTTGGTGATCTAATAACATCTCATGGTTCTGAAAAACAAGCTCAAGATGGTAACAGTGTTACTCTCTCCTGCAACTACACAGGTGATGTTTTTAATCTACTGTGGTATCGTCAGTATCAAAGATCCAAACCAGAATTCCTTCTCTCCATGACTGAATCTGGAGATCCAGTTAAAGAAGATCCATCAGCCCACTGGTTATCTGCTAAAGTTGACAAACACACAAAGCTCATGGAACTGGAATTCAGCCCTGCTAAAGTATCAGACTCTGCACATTATTACTGTGCCCTGCGGCCCACAGTGACAGGAAACCCTTTTCCTCTGTACATAATCTTTCTGTATATATGTCATGCTTTTAATCGATGCTTAACAAACACATGTACTCTACAGTATGTATTATTTCTGTGATTGAATCAGCCATCAGTAACACAAGCATATCTTAATGAATCCACAAGGATCGATACAAGTCAAATCAATTGTGATGCTTCCTGGTATATTTGTATAATATAAATATAAGTATAATATCAAAGTTCAATGAAAATGGTGATAAAAGAAATTATGACCACTTGGGTGTTATCATGAATATGAAAAATAATTAAATAAGAAAAATTGCATTAAGAATGTCAAAATAAGCAACTAGATCTCCGAAATTCAGTTTGTTCTGTATCATTATTGTGATTTTGCAATAAAAAAAATGATATGTGAGAGAGAAATAACTGCACCAATTACTGTTTTCAGCTAAAGTTTAAAAAAGTATTACAATCTTTTTAATGTCTTTTCTTTAATACACATTGGCAGAGACTTTGAATCGCAGGTCACATGAACTGGTTTAAGTATAAAGACTTTATTAGAGAAATACAAGCAAAACAAGATTTCTTCCAGCGGGTGGGGCTTAATATCAGGATGAAGCAGCATTTTAATCTGAGGGAGGATGTCAGAATTCAAAGACATCCAGTCTGAATGATACTCAAGTATTTCAGATTCTTCTTCAGATTTCTGCTGTCATGATTATTTTCACTCTCCTCAGTCTTTTGTGGATATGTATTGGTAAGATAAAGTTTTATTTTTCTCTCCAGTCTAGACCAGTTACCTTTTACTTATTTGCTACTTACTACTTTTTACCATTTAATTACGGTCTAATTAGGCTTTTACTCTCCATTACAGAGGCAGAAATAAAACCCTTGTCACTGAATGAAAATAGATTTGTTGATGACAGTGTTACTCTGTCCTGCAGTTATAAAGACTATTCAGGTACTGTAAATAATTTACAATGGTACAGACAATATCCCAGATCCAAACCGGAGTTCCTCCTTTACATCTTCCCACAAGGAGTTATGAGTGAAGACAGACCACCCAGATTTACTGCTACAGTTAATCAAGACAACAAACAAGTGGATCTGAAGATCTCCTCTGCTGTAGAGACAGATTCTGCCATGTACTACTGTGCCCTGAGGCCCACAGTGACAGGAAATCTAACTGCATCCTACAAAAACCTCCCATGTCATCATTAAAGAAAGATGAAGCCTCAAACACTTACTTCATCCTGTCTCAAAGGCCAGTGCATCATCACCACAATAGTCTGTAATTTTGCTGAGACAAGTCATATAACATATACATTCAATATAGTCAAAGGTTTGCATTTCCCTTATTACTGAAATAGTATATACGTTTTGCCAGAAGGTGGCGCTGTATGCATATTCTTTTTCAGTCATTATGGAGTGGATGTCCTGATGCAAGTTTTGTCTTACGTGCAGATTAATTGTCTGTATTGTAACCATTGTAATTTGTCTGCTCAAAAGTCAGAGACTGATTTTCATCTGCAAGATATCAGAAGAATCAGAATCAGAATCAGAATGAGTTTTTATTGCCAGGTATGTTTACACATACGAGGAATTTGTTTTCATGACAGAAGCTCCACAGTGTAACAGAATGACAGTGACAGAACAAAAACACAGATAATAAAAAATTGAAAAATAGAACAAGTAACTAAGGAATAAAAATATACAAATCGACAATTGTATGTACAGGTATATAACAATATTGTCAGTTTGTTTCAGGTTACGTTGGTTAATCTAATAGGTTGTTCCCAATGTTACTATAAAAAGAGAGCTTGCATCAAAGATGCAGTGTTCTTGCTTGCCAGATTTTTTTAAAGGTAAATGTTACTGATGATATTCCAGGTATTGTTGGACTACATATTCCAGTATACTAGTCAATCTGACACCTTGCCGTCAAGTATTTTATGGATATTTTAGCATATGCAAATTTTTACTTTAGACTCATTCTGAACTGAGATAGCTGAAATACTTCTGTAAAGATCATTTCACCTATTGCTCACTTAAACAATCATAATTTATTCTTCTTATACATATTCTGCCAGAGGGAGGAGCTACAGGATTCATGTTTTATATTACCCAGCTCCAGCTATATTTAGTTTTAGGAGGAAATTGATTCTCACAGTCATTTTTGTCTCTTTATTAGTAAGATGTTGTTCCTGATCTTAATCTTCATTTCTCTGCTCAAAGGTCAGTTATTGATTTTTATATATATATTTTATCCAATTATTATATATTCAGTGTGAACTACATGTATGCATCTTAATTTAATTTAGCCCAAAGGAATAATTTATAATCTTTGATTATTCTTCTACACAGAGAATGCTGACGCAAATACAATAAACCCACTGGTCCCAGAGAAGCACATGATAGCAGGAGACAATGTTACCCTCTCCTGTGAATACAGTGGAGGAGTTAACACACTGCAGTGGTATCGACAATATCCAGGATCTCGAATAGAGTTCCTTATATTTGTCACTGAGCTCAATGGCCGGTCGGAGCCTGCACTTCGACTTTCATCTGTGGCTGATGAACGTATATAAACGCATGAATCTCAGCATCTTTCAGGCAGAAATGGAAGATTCTGCTTTGTACTACTGTGCCCTGGTGCCCACAGTGATGGGAAACACTGCAACACTGTACAAAAACATCATTAGCAGCAGACATAGATCCAACATCAGATTTTAACCAATTTTTCTAAACATTTCAACAAATCAAAGTGTGATGACTTCACTTGAATCATTTATGCATTGATAAAGCTGGAATCTTCATAACATTATGAAAAAAAAACGGTTTACCTCTGAGTATGCAGTGACTGCTAAATGTAATGTTAACAGGTTTGAATATAAAGACACCATAAAAAGCAGGCTAAACTAAATAACTTTCCCATAGGGCGGAGCTTAATATCAAGATGTTGGAGCATTTTAATCTGAGGGAGGATATCAGAATTCAAAGGCATCTAGTCTGAATGATACTCAAGTCTCTCAGATTCTTCTTCAGATTTCTGCGGTCATGATTATTTTTACTCTCCTCAGTTTTTTGTGGATGTGTATTGGTAAGATAAAGTTGAAAAAAAATTCTCCAATCTAGACTGTTACGTTTTTACTTATTTGCTACTATGTTTTACCATTTAATTACAGTCTAATAAGGCTTTTACTCTCCATTACCAGGTCACACAGAGGCAGATGCAATAAAACCCTTGTCGCTGAATGAATATAGACGTGCTGGTGACAGTGCTACTCTGTCCTGCAGTTACAAAGACTATACAGCTACTGTACAGAATTTACAATGGTACAGACAATATCCCAGATCCAAACCGGAGTTCCTCCTGTACATCTTCCAGCATGGAGCTATGAGTGAAGACAGACCACCCAGATTTACTGCTGCAGTTAATCAAGACAACAAACAAGTGGATCTGAAGATCTCCTCTGCTGTAGAGACAGATTCTGCCATGTACTACTGTGCCCTGGTGCCCACAGTGACAGGAAATCTAACTGCATCATACAAAAACCTCCCATGTCATCCTGCCTCAAATAACAAATGCATCAGCACAATAGCCAATCCTTTAACTGGAACAAATCACATCATGCTTATCCACACCAAAGGTACACATCTCCCCATGACTAAAATTGTACAGAAAACATTACACTTAACTTATTTGACAGGAGGTGGCGCTATATGACTAACCTCCCAGCCCCTTTGCTTTTATAAGTGAGTTTATCTTACAAAATAATTGTAGTTTTATTCTATGGGGAATTTTTTATTTTTGCACAGATTTTGACCCTGGAATTGATTATACTTTGCTTAATGGTCAATGATTTAAACGTTTGATGTGCAAGATATCGTCAGTTAGTTCAGCATTCTTAAAAACAAAGGTTCCAAAAGGAGTTTTTCACAGCAATGCTATAGAAAAATCTTTTTTTAGTTCACCCTTTCAGTTTTTCTTATTGTAAAGAGCATTTTAATAATCCAAATAAAAGTTTTCTAAAAAAAAAAAAAAAAAAAAACTGAAATTTAAATGGGATATCAATGGTTTTTCATGGACCATCAATTCAAGGACCTTTATTTTTAAGAGATATTAATTCATTTAGTTCAGTTTCAAAGGCATTTGTTTTAAACGTAGATTTTAATTGTTCATAAAAAACTTAAAACTCACTTTAGCTTTCTAAAAGCACTGAGTAACTCATATTCAAAGTTTAGCCAAAAGTCTAGTAAATTATATGATACTTGTTCTTAGTTACTATAAAAATACAACATTAATATATGTTTTTTTTCTTCTTTTTTGCTTGCAAGATGTGAATATGTATTTAAACATTTGTTATTGATAATAATATTTCAGTATATTCTAAACTATAAACTATAATTGGTTTGATACCTTTTTGCCTAATATTTAAGATCTTTTTTTAACTCATTCCAAATGGTTCTGAGATCAACAATCATAAAATGTTCTTAAAACCCATATTCTACAGGAAGGAGGAGCTATACTTCATGTTTTTCATTAGCCAGCTCCTGCTATATATGAGTTAGTTACATCTAAGGAAGAAATGTGCAGCATTGATTCTCATTGTCTTTTTTGTTCATTCATTGGTGAAATGTTGTCCCTGGTCTTGATCATTATCTCTCTGCTCAAAGGTCAGTTATTCATACTTTTTTTTTTTACTTTTAAACCAAAGGTTGTGTGAAATTCTGTATTAACACATTAACATCTTAATTTAAGTAACAATCTACATAGCATTATTGTTTCTTCTTCTACACAGAGAATGCTGACGCAAATACAATAAACCCACTGGTCCCAGAGAAGCACATGACAGCAGGAGACAATGTTACCCTCTCCTGTGAATACAGTGGAGGTGTTAACACACTGCAGTGGTATCGACAATATCCAGGATCTCGAATAGAGTTTCTCATTTTTGCCACTGAGCTCAGTGGCCGGTCAGAGCCTGCACTTCGACTTTCAACTACAGCTGATAAAGGAAACAAATGGATGCACCTGAACATCTTTTTAACAGAAATGGACGATTCTGCGCTGTACTACTGTGCCCTGGTGCCCACAGTGATGGGAAACACTGCAACACTGTACAAAAACCTGAAACTATACTAGCATCAGATTTCAACAGACACTCCACTTAAATCAAATAATAAATAATATGAAGCATGAAAGTGGTGTTTCAAAATATACATTTCAAGTTGTAAATGAAATCAAATTAAGTACCTCTGAGTATGAAATGACTGACAATAGGCAATGGCTGAAAAAAAGTAGCAAAAATTATAAATATCAATATTTTGGGAAGGTATTATTTATTGATGAATGAATTACAAGGTAAAATTTACTCTCAATTATCAAATCAATTTTTAATACTGACTTAAAGAATAGGAGTGTGTCCGAGGTTGTTAGTCAATGGGGTTTGCAAACCGAGAACTGACGCTTCTCATTTAGAACTGGTTCGTTTAAAAGTCAAGTCAAGTCAAGGCCAGGCCAGGCCAGGCCAGTCCAGTCCATTCCAGTCAGTCAGTCTCACAAAACAGGCATTATATATTCAGGTTAAAGAACAAATAACTCTTATGAGCTGGTTCTTTCTAGTGAATCAAAAAAATTTACAATCACTCTGATTGCTGGACGAATTAGTCAGTTTTTTGTAGTAAAACAATCACATAGTTACATTTTACTGAGAGATAAATTTTAAAAGGTGCAGTTGAATTCTTTTTGATCCCCATTCCTGCTGTTGGGGGAAGAATAAAACTTTATATGTAAACCCTCAAAGCTGTCAGAAGGAGGAGCTCTTAGTGTTTTTCATTTCTGACATCTAAGTGTGCTGTCATTCTGTGAGTTAAAACAACATTATGTGGGTCTATTTACCTTTGCTCCTTTCAGCACTTGCAGGTGAGAATGTTTTTATTTCCATATTAATTCTTCATATACATTTGTCATTCATTAACATTTTAAATTGTTTAGGGTTTAAATATATATGAATACATATTTTGTTTGACAGGAGACTCTCTTGGTGATCTAATAACATCCCATAATTCTAAAAAACAAGCTCAAGATGGTAACAGTGTTACTCTCTCCTGCAACTACACTGGTGCTGTTTATAATCTACTGTGGTATCGTCAGTATCAAGGATCCAAACCAGAACTCCTTCTCTCCATGACTGAATCTGGAGATCCAGTTAAAGAAGATCCATCAGCCCACTGGTTATCTGCTAAAGTTGACAAACACACAAAGCTCATGGAACTGGAAATCAGCCCTGCTAAAGTATCAGACTCTGCACGGTATTACTGTGCCCTGCAGCCCACAGTGACAGGAAACCCTTTTCTCCTGCACAAAATCTTGCCAATGGTAGAGCTTAACATCTAAAAGCTGATAGACTGGCTGACAACGTATTTGACTTTTATTTAACTGTATTTTTTTTTTATCAGAAATCTTTAGCTTTGACAAAAGTATTACTATATTGTGGGGACCCAAGTTGGTCTGATATAAAAATGTGAAAAATAAAAACATGTTATGACAGTACTCATCTAAACACATTTTTTAATGGTTAAATTACATTTTATTAACCAAAAATAATGTCTAATTAATTAAAATCATGGAACTTACACAATGTCACATCAGTTTACTCAAAGTTTGACAAAAATTATGGTTAGGGCCCTATGAAATCTTTTATTTTCTTTCACCATATGTTTTATTGTTACCAAATTCTGTGTTGTAGCATATCTAATTATTTGAATGCATAAAAACATTTTAATTTATTCACATTTATTCTTAAAATAACCTTATGAAATGCTTTCTTTTTCCTCAGAAATCCTGTGTTGTGTATCTGGTTATCAAATGAAGGCATAAACATTAATTTAACTGATCTTTAAATTATTGAAAATTAAACTTAATTTTTTTGGCAAACAAAGGGGATTTACTATTAAAATTAAAACATGGAAGAAATGTTGTGTGATCATTCCTTAAAAAATTAAGTTTTAATAATTTTAGTAGTAGTAGTAGTATGTACATTCTGCTGAACAAAAGTAATATATTTCTGCTGCAATACATTCAAGTTAAACCAGACTTTTATTTTGACGGGTTACCGTGAATACCTTTATATTTCTGTGTGTTTATCATATGATGCTAGTTTTACTCAAATGAAATGGTAAAATACTGACTCTCAGAGCAGTTCTGGAGATGTTGTTCGTGTATTTATGTCCTCATTTAGTGAGACGACAGATGCTGAAATCACCGCGAGCGTCGCGCGCGCTTCAGTGTGTGTGTAGTAAACGAAACCGCTCGTCATTCATTCATACAGAGATATGATCGCGTAATATGAGCTAATTCTCATCAGATCACGTAAATCAGTGGAAAATTAATAGAAATTATGATTCTGTGTAAAGAAATATCAAGTAAACTTGTATAAAAATATCAGTCTTTTTCCAAATATGAACTAAACGCTCTAATGGAAGCAGTTCAGTGACGCTTGCACGTGACTGCCTACCTGCCAACCAGAGGTGGCCGCCTCATAATTTTCTATGCAGGAAAAACCCTGTATACAGTCGGATTTCTAAGAACCCTTAATCTACTGGAATATTGAATTCCTTTGGAAGTTTTTTTTTTTTTTAACTAAAAGGCTTTATGGTTATTTTTGGAAATAGACATACGATCTTTCAAATGAAAACATTGTTTTCATCATGTTACTGTAAAATAACATTGCAATATATATAACAAAAATAATCAATACATTTTTGCCTACTTTTGTTATTATAGAAACATCCATGGAAAAGCTGTTAATGTTTAAAATGTGTTTAATTTGCCTGATTTAAACTAGTGAGCACCAATTTAACATGCAGTCTGCCAGAAGGTGGAGCTCTAGGTTCAGTCATTTCAAAACAGAGCACAGACATAAACTTATTATGTCTGTGAGTTAGAGTTAGTTGAGGAAAGTCACAAAGGCCTTTTTGTTTCGTGCTGGTGTAGATGTTTCTCTTGGTTCTCTTGATATTTTCTCCTCTTATGGGTAAGTCATTTATAAGAATAACTTCCAAATAGAAAAATACTAATTTTGAATGGTAATGTGTCAATAAATCACCGGTTTACACTTTTTTTTTTCAAACAGAGAATGCTGATGCTGAAGTGATAACCTCAGTCTTCATAGAGCAGCATGTTTTGGCAGGAAAAGATATTACTCTTTCCTGCAATTACAGTGGCTATGTTCAAAATTTGCAGTGGTATCGTCAGTATCCCGGATCCAAACCTGAGAATATAATTTTTTATACTGAGACAAAGAGTCAGTCAGAGCCCAAGCTTCGTCTGTACGCTGTGGCCGATAAAGGAATCAAACTTATGAATTTGAGCATATCTTCTACTCAAATGGATGATTCTGCTCTGTATTACTGTGCCCTGCAGCCCACAGTGACAGGAAATACAACTGCACTGTACAAAAACTTTCTTATGACCTATTCTTACTAAAAGGCACTTTCACACCAGTTTTTCCTAATTGTCTTTCCTGACTGATACGATGTGATGCACTTTTTTTTTTAAAAGAACATAATTTGTCACGTTTCTGACAAACAAATCTGATTCTAAACACTTGGTGTCACTATCAATCACGGCGAAGTCTCATGAGATATCATCTCTGCTGCTGAATTAGTTTATTACATTTTTGCCAGCTTCCCAATGCTATTAACAGATATTTGCAGAATTTAAATTTAACCGACAAAGAGTCTCATTAATACAACGACGTGTTTGTCCTGGTAATGCAGCTAAGTCTGATCCTGTGCTCATGTTCTTATACTTGTAGAAATGTTTCAATAACGTACATTGCACATTATGCATAAATCTGTGGTTTTTGTAAAAATTGGCATGCAGAGTGCTCGTGCTCTTGATTAATGTTAATTAACATTGCTTCATAACATGAAAAATGAACCTCAATGACCATTTTACTGTGTTATTGCTGATGCCTGATGTAATGCACCATTTTCTTGTGAATTATTAGAATATGTAATAAATAAATTACCTATTGTGTAAAATAAAATACACAAAATGTAGAATCATTTAGGTGGCCCCTGACATGTTGGAGACTTAGCAATAGCTTAAATGTTAATAATTACCATAAATTTCAGGTTAATGCACACCATTTATATATATATATATATATATACACAAGTTTTATACATAAACTTTTTGAAAGTTCCCATGTGTAACAATCATTAATTTTATGTGCATTATTCTGCCAGAAGATCTTCACGCTGAGTTCAGTTGTTTAAAAACAGCAGACATACTGTACATCAGTGTTTCTCAACCCTGGTCCTGGGCGCCCCCCCAACCCTGCACATTTTGTGTGTCTCCCTAATCAAACACACCTGATTCAACTCATTAGCTCATTAGAAGAAACTCCAGGACCTGAAATGGGTGTGTCAGATAAGGGAGACATACAAAATGAGCAGTGTTGGGGGGCACCCAGGACCAGGGTTGAGAAACACTGCTGTACATAGAGTCAGTCATACTCTAGAAGGGAACTATAAGTCTTGACTCTCAAAGTCATTTTCTCTCATTAGTGTAGATGTTGCTCCTAGTATTCATTATATTTTCTCTTCTAAAAGGTGAGTGAATTATAACAATTACTGTGGAAGTGTTCTTTCCATATTCTGTTGACAGTCTAAATTAGTCCATTACAAATAACGAATTACATTTTTTTAAAAACAGAATGCTGCTGCTGATGTCATAAAACCAGTCTACACACAGAAGCAGGTTTTGGCAGGAAAAGATGTTACACTGATCTGTAACTAACTACACTGGAAATGTTCAGAGTTTACAGTGGTACCGTCAGTATCCCGGATCCAAACCTGAACACCTCATTATGTTCTTTGAAACCAGCCCTAAATCAGAGCCTGCTCTCCGTCTGACCGCTGCGGCTGATAAAGCAGCCAAAAGTATGAATTTGATTATCTCTTCTACAGAAGTGAAAGACTCTGCCATGTACTACTGTGCCCTGGTGCCCACAGTGACAGGAAATACAACTAAATGTACAATAACTGAACGAGTAATGATATTAAACAGAAGATCATGATTTAAAAACATTATATACAATATTTGCACTGTACAACTATCAAATGTTTCAAGCATTAATTTGCTGCTCATAATAAAGAGTGTAATATTAGTTAAATTGGACTAACACAACATCATTTTTAGCTTGTAGGCTACATCTTCTTCCTAAGTAAGTAGTATTACTCATATTAATTTTGCACTGTATTCCAGAACATCACAAAAATACCTGTATGTAAAAAATACCTGTCTGTTTTGTTATACATTTATTCTATTATATTGCTTGATTCTTTATCATCTTTGCAGGTATCGGTTAATCGTGTTGCTGTACAATGACTTTGGTTGTTTTAATTACATTCAAAAAATAATGACATACTTAACCAGTGGTTACCACACACATTCTACACAGTCTCTCTCTCTCTCGCTTTTTTTTACATATATTATTAAATAAGATTTACATCAGAGAGACCCAGTTATGCATGACTTTTGCCAGAAGGTGGCGCTCACATTTACATTATTTCAAAACAGAGAGCAAATACAAACAGAGTCAGTTCGGAGGAAACTGTAAGTCTTGACTCTACAGGCCTTTTGTCTCATTGATGATGATGATGATGATGTTGCTTCTGCTGGTCCTCATATTTTCCATTTTTAAGGGTGAGTAATCCATGAGAACAATTTCCAGATGATTGATTTTGACTGGGTTAATGTGTTAATAAACCAACTATTTTATACTCTTAATTAGATCATGAATTGTAATGATTTTAATAGATTTTTTTTAAACAGAGAATGCTGATGCTGAAGTGATAACCTCATTCTTCACAAAGCAGCATGTTTTGTCAGGAAGAGATGTTACACTTTCCTGCAACTACAGTGGCAATGTTCGCAATTTGCAGTGGTACCGTCAGTATCCCGGATCCAAACCTGAGAATATAATTTTTTACACTGAGAGCAAGAGTCAGTCAGAGCCCAAGCTTCGTCTGTACGCTGTGGCCGATAAAGGAATAAAACGTATGAATCTGAGCATATATTCTACGGAGCTGGATGATTCTGCTCTGTACTACTGTGCCTTGGAGCCCACAGTGACAGGAAATACAACAGCACTGTACAAAAACAGACAATCAGGACACACTGTACTTACCAAACATTACCAACAAGTACCACTGTGTACAATAAGGAAAAATTAAAGAAAAATTAAGAGAGCTGGTATCAACCAGTTTAAAGATCTTTGAAACTTGTGGTTACAGTACTTTAAAACGGTATATTTTCCACATACCTGTACAGCTGATTGTCCAAAAGTAACATTTTATTTTTTATGAAATCATTATGTATGATTAAACAACAGCCATACTGTATTTACAAAACCTTCTTTTTAATTAGAGCGTAAACTAAAGTGTATTCTCAAACAGTCAGTATTTGTAGGGACAACAAGGATGTATGTGTGGGAGGAGCTCAAGGTTTTGTCAGCTTCAGCAGAAGAAATCATTGAGACAACACTGACTTCCCTTCATGGAGAAGTCTGAACTCAAACTACAGAATCATGCTACTCATCTCTTCTGTTTTAATTTTTATCCTCAGTTACTGTAAGTACTGTTAGTCATACACATCACATATTGCACCATATTTCAGAATATCACTAGAATATACATCAAAAATATAAAAAAATTTTATTCATTCTAAACATAATCCATTATATTGCTTGATTCTTTATCATCTTTGCAGGTAAAGCGAATGGGAATGTCATCAGACCAAACCAAGCGTCTGTAGTTTTAACTGAAGGAAGCAGCACCACTCTGTCCTGTACATATGATGGATCAGCTTACAGTCTCCACTCATATCGGCAGAAGCCTGGATCAAAACCAGAGTTTCTGCTGCTGATTGATGAGTCTTCTAAGTATGTCACAAGAGCTGACCAACCTTATCCACATATGTCCATCAGACTCCATGATGATAAACGTGTGGATCTGGAGATCTCCTCTGCTGCTGTATCAGACTCTGCTGTGTATTACTGTGCTCTGCAGCCCACAGTGACAGAAAAACCAACTACACTGTACAAAAACTTGTTTCTTGCATATTGTATAGTCATATATCCAGGCACGTGCACACATAGACATCAAAGGGGGCTTGAGCACCTACCCTTTTTCTAAGTCAAGAGAAATGGCCCTTTTTACTTGGGTAGTTTTTTTATGTAAATAAATGAATATATGTAGGCTATATATGTGTGTGTGTGTGTGTTGCTGTTTGCGCATAGCTTTCCCTGTCAAAAAAAATAAATCTAAATATCAGGTCGGGTTTATTAACTCTGTCGAGTTCCGATGCCTTTCTCCGCGTCTCTGCAGCACAGCAGTGTAGCGCACATTGATAGGCACATCACAGACAAACAGACAGACAGAGCCGCAGAATAGTGATGCAAAGTCTGACTCATTTCCGCAAACCAGTTCTTTTTGGACAGATCGGCTCATTGAACCAGTTCAAAAAGCCGATTTATCAGTTTCTGACGTCATCAAGCAATAACGTCTCTACGCATTTCTTTTCTAACAACTCAGCGCAATGTTGTATCAGTGAAAAATTCTAATAAGTCATTTGTGTCAACACATGAAACATTCAAAAATAAAAGTTATTTGTGTAAAAGCATATTGCTGATTATTACCATATAATTCACTTAAAGGGGTCATATGATGCGATTTAATTTTTTCCTTTCTCTTTGGAGTGTTACAAGCTCTTGGTGCATAAAGAAGATCTGTAAATTTGCAAAGACTAAAGTCTCAAATCCAAAGAGATATTCTTTATAAAAGTTAAGAGTCAGCCACACCCCCCTAAAACGGCTCGCTCGAACACGCCCCCACATATCCACCTCACTATGTGGGAAGATTTGCATAACGCCGCCCAAATGTTCACGCAAAGAAAGAAGGTGTAACTTTTATTCTCGCTGTAATATTGTTGCTGCTGCCGCCATGTCCTGCAGACGCTGTGTGTTTCACTGTGAAAGCGAAACTACTTTGTTTGGTCTTCCAAAAGAGGACGATATCCGCTTCGTCATGCATAGAGCTAATCTGTGCTGGTCGCTGAGGGAATACATCAACTTAGTGCTGTGGATCGCCGGCACATTTTATGGAGGACTGTTTACTGATCCTGGGAGAGTAACGTTAGACTAAAATGCCGGCAGTTCTGACTCACGTAAGTACGTTTTCTTTTATCATTTGCCACTGATGATTCAAACGCGAGTTTTAGGCAGTAGAGTAGCACTTGTTGTTTGGCATTTCTCTAATCACAAATGCAGACAGGGTTTTATGTTTACGTGGCACGATGCAATGCAACGCGTAAAAAGACAGTATAAGTCATTATAATCAGTAATTATGTCCCCACTGGATGCAACAAATGCCTCGTTTGTAATGGGTTTTAATGTTTTTGTCTCGTCGCGCTGGCCGGACACAGCATCACAATATGGTGAGGGGTGTAACATTTCCGTCACACGCTTGAGGTATTCGGCCAATCACAACGCACTGGATAGCTGGCCAATCAGAGCACACCTCGCTTTTTCAGACCGATGAGCTTTGTAAAAATCGACGCGTTTCAAAAAGAATTTGACTGAAAAGATGATGCACACTTTTAGAAAAAAATGGCTTAAAAAAAAGGTAAAAATGCCCATTAAAAGGTAAAAAAAAACATTTAAACTTATTGGAAAATATTAATTTCTATCACTGTGAACTGACCACCACACAGAATATGCAGAATATAAAAAACTTTTTGGAGTCAGCTGTCCACAGTAGACCTTAAGATACCAGCACTATAACACACTAAGCAAAATATCATCTAATTATTGTTATCGATAAAATCCCAGAAAATATTGAGATATATTTTTGTCAATATCGCACACCCCTAATATATTTAACGTTTTGTTTAGAAAAAAATAGAATAGAAAATAGAAAATATGAGAAGTGCCCTTTTTTCCACTTGAGCCCCTGCCCCTCAAAATGTCTGTGCACGTCCCTGCATATATCTAAGCCTGCCCTCATGCAGTGTCTCTTATAAGACAAAAGAACTTTCCGTTCCTTATAAGATGGTTTTCTCTGAGAATTACTGTACCATTTTAGCAAATGTTATGCACCATTTACTTATTTATTGGTCATTTAAAGCCACTATTACAAGACAAAACATACTATAATTTACAATACACCAAGTTAACCAGTACACCATAGTATGAACCCACATGCTAACATTATGCAAAATTTGGAAGAAAAAAAAACTGCATGCAAGCATGAAACTAAATTAGTATTAATTATACAAAAATTAATAAAACAAAACAAATAAAAGTTAATTAACGCTTTAGTTTAGGGACCAATTCTCACTATTAACTAGTTGCTTAATAGCATGCATATTACTAGCATACTGGCTGTTTATTAGTACTTACAAAGCACATATACTGCATGACCATATTCTACATGAGATATTGTCATCTCATATGCATTCTGCTGCCAGAAGGTGGTGCTCAGGAACCATCCTAGTTCAGTCTCAGTTCAGTTGTTTAAAAACAGAGCAGACATACATAGATCCAGTCATACTCTAGAAGAGAACTGTTAGTCTCTCATTAGTGTAAATGTTGCTCCTGGTATTCATGATATTTTCTCTCCTAAAAGGTGAGTGATTCATAACAATTACTGTGGAAATTGTTTTTTTCCTCCTTTTTATACTGTTAAAAATCTGACTTAGTCCGCTAGAAATTATTAATTAAAAATTTATTTTAAACAGAGAATGCTGCTGCTGATGTCATAAAACCAGTCTTCACAGAGAAGCAGGTTTTGGCAGGAAAAGATGTTACACTGATCTGTAACTACACTGGAAATGTTCAGAGTTTACAGTGGTACCGTCAGTATCCTGGATCCAAACCTGAGCACCTCATTATGTTCTTTGAAACCAGCCCTAAATCAGAGCCCGCTCTCCGTCTCACCGCTGCGGCTGATAAAGCAGCCAAAAGTATGAATTTGACCATCTTTTCTACAGAAGTGAAAGACTCTGCCATGTACTACTGTGCCCTGGAGCCCACAGTGACAGGAAACACAAATACACTGTACAAAAACTTGTTTCTTGTATATTGTACCATCATGTTTGTAGCAGGGAGGAGCTTCTTCACATGCAGAGTCTCTTTTCTCACTTTCCTTACATTTGCTGTCGGGCCATAATGTTGTCTTTCTGAGTACTTTACCATTTTAGCAAATGTTCGTAGGGGTGGGCTATATACCGGTAGACACGATTAACTGGTAGAAATTTATCAACTGGTAGAGATTTTAGACTATGGTCTCTATCACGGTTACACACTCACGTGACGTTGCTGTGCTACATGGTGACGAAAACTTGTTTACACATGTTTTAAGCATTGCATTTAAAAAACAATAGATTTTAAGCCATTGAAACCCAATAAGCAGCAAAAGAGAACTCCTTTCGCTATATGCGCGCGCACGTGAAGATGGTGTTCATAGAGCGCGGGAGAATTACACTGAGCTATTTTTGCTGCTTTATACACACACTTGTATGTGTCAAAATGCCCATCTTTGCAAGTATCCTTGTAAACACAGTACTTTAGGTCTTAAGTGAAAGCAAACAGCTGAGAAAGAAAATGTGTGTAATATATTGGATCCGGGCAGCTCTTACAGCAGTCTAATATTCCTGCTGTCTGTCATTCATGTTAATCAAACAACAAAAGAGAGAAAATATCTCCCTCTTGAGAAAATAACGCTCGACTAAATCACTTTTGTAACTTTAATAAGAATAAATATATATTTAATTTTCACAGTGAAGTATATGCAGTGTTTTTATACATTTGATTACTTTATAATGTAGCATTGCTTATTTATTTGTTCTGCTGTAGTTTTTTTCCCCCTATTGCTTGTAATTAGTATTTTATTCTTATTTAAACGCTGTCTGTTTACTTGTCTTCAGGAAGTATTAGTTTTTTTGTGATATTGACACTGGTGACCAGAATTATGAAATTTCTTTAGTATCAAAATTTTTATATTATAAAGAAAGTATTTGCTATTCACTGTTCAAATGCAGAGTTTTGAGCATTGTGTGTGTGTGTGTGTGTGTGTGCGAGCGAGAGAGAGAGCGAGAGAGAGCGCGAGAGAGAGAGCGAGAGAGAGAGCGCGAGAGAGAGAGAGAGACAGGGTCACATCACAGTGGAGTCAGCTGTCTTAACCGTGGCTTGTGTACTGCAAACACATTCATCACTGTGTCTGTCACGAGACTCTGTTCCCCTTTCAGGCTCTGTCTTTACATTTATTTTGAAAGATGAAGCTTGCGATTACGGTAAGGGGCGTTACATTTCCGACGAGTGCTTGCGGTGTTCGGCCAATCACAATGCACTGGGTCAGCTGGCCAATCAGAGCAGACTGCACTTGTCGGAAGGAGGGACTTTGTAGAAAACTAAGCGTTTGAGAGAGATTGATGTACAGTATTTGAAAAATAATGTGTTTTTTGAACATTAAAGCATGTCAACATATTCTGTTACACCAAATAATGATCTTTAAAAAAGCATCATATGACCCCTTTAAAGCAAAAACAACTACACTGTGATGTTACTGTGAAATAAAATTACTTATATCGTGCAAGATTTTGGTCATATAGCCCACCCCTAAATGTTAGAATACCATTTACTTGTTAATTGCTGCTCATTTAATGCCATAATTACAAGACAAACACACTATAATTTGCAATACCATAAGTCAACCACATAGTATGAACCTATATACTATAACGTATATGTAAAATTCAGCAAAATCAGGTGGTCCCTGACATCAGTTTGTTAAAAAAAAGTTGTAAGCATGAACCTTACTTAGTATTACTTATACAAAAATTAATAAAACAAAACAAATAAGCAAAAGTTCCTTATAGGTCTATAGACAGGACAAATTCCTGCAGATGAGACTTTGCTTGACTAACTGTCATAATTTTGCCACTTGATTTATTTGCACAGTAAACATACATTTTACAATCAATTGGATCTCTCTAGACAGTGACAGTTCTCATAACTTAAAAAAAAGTTCCATTCAAATATTTAAAATATTTGCTCTATTAATAATGTCATTCTTCTTACTGTAAAATTTACTAGGCCAAAGGCTTTCAGTAAGCTCTTATTTGTTCTTGTTGATAC